CTTTTGATAATTCAATGCACGAAAGTCCTTCAAAGTCTTACTATTTAGCATCACTAAATCCCATTTTTCACGGGCTTTCATTTGGTATAAAATTCATCATATCTCCGATTTAGAATTATAGCGTTACTCCCCTTGAATAATATTATTTGCTACCCTGTACATCGGAGTCTTGAGGTGTCAACAATGTCGGTACTTCGACGAGCTGTTTGCTCTATACAACATAATCGATTACGGCGATTCCAAATATGTCATAATTCCGAGGAACGCTTCTCTACAAAAAGAAGTCATCCGATTTTGATATGAAATTGTCTCTTATTGTCTCTAGTTCAAGTGAAAAATTCTTCGATGATACAGAACTGATTATTACATAAGAGAATGCTAAAATATCTTTTCATCTGTTTCTTTATATATAAATATCTTAGATCTATCTATTTAGCGTGGTGTTACGTTGGCAAACGTCGTTTAGAAAAAGCTTTATCTCAATTAGATTCATCAAAGGTTAATGTGGAAATATCTTGGTATCCATTTGAATTAGATTCAGGATCACCCAGAGAAGGTTCAATATTAAAACTTGATCGTTATAAACAAAAATTTGGTGAAGAAAGAACAAAACAAATGATAACTCAAATGCAACAAACTGGAAAAGAAGAAGGTAAATAAAAATAGTTCACTCATATAAATATTTCTTACATTATCTATTTCAGGTATTCAATTTTCATATGGTGGTAAAGTTGGTTCTACATTCAATTCACATCGTCTTGTTCACTATGCTAAACTACATGGAAACAAACAAAATGAATTAATTGCCATTATATTTAAGTATTATTTTGAACAAGAAAAAGATATAAACGATCTAAATGTTTTATGTGATTGTGCACAAGAAGTAGGCTATGATCGACAAGAAATTATGGATTTTCTTAAATCTAACAAATATGAACAAGAAATTCAAAATGAAGTTGAACGTAATTATCAGCAAGGTATTACGGGTGTTCCACATTTTACAATTAATGGAAGATACAGTGTGAGTGGTGCACAAACACCTGAACATTTTATGAAATTATTTTCACAAGCAGGTATCATTTAATTGATATCACTACAATAATAATTATTTTAATTTAATCTAGTTTTATTTAAGCATTAATATGCAACAGTTCATTTAAACAAGATTTCTACAAAAATTCGTTTTTATTTTTTTTAACTTTTTAAGGTTCCCTTTGCTGAAAATCTATCGTAATACCTATAAGCCCAATACCGACCAAACTTACATGAAATATTGACCATGCCAAAGTATGGTGAGAAAATAACTTTTTGACCTCATCTGTCTCCATTCGCGATGTCGCTACAACTAGAAGAACTATTTGTATGTTACAAAAATCTTCTACTCAGATAGATGACACTTAGGGTTATTCAAAAGTAGTGGCGTCCCTATAGAAAGCTTGAGAAAACTTCAATCTGTTTTCAAAAGATGTGCAATTTAATTCTCTACAAAATTAATGTTGACTATATTTTGCAGTAATGAAATTCTAAATTTCTAGAGATCAAACACTTCGATGGAATCAAGTTCAACCAGTTCCCACTAAATTTTAGAATTTTTTTGCGACTATTTTTCTGTGCTAACTATAAATATTGAGAAGATCAAGTATTCATTTTTCGATAGTGCATCAACAGCTCTTTCAAAGATATATAATATCTTCTCAATCCGATATCTGTTGCCGTAGCAAAAATTCTTTTATTTAATTTTTTGATCTTGAAAATTGCTCCTTTGCAGCAATTAACTATTTCCTAGCCCTATAAAAATGTTTGTTCACTTTTTTTTGTGGTAGGAAGAAAGGTAAATCGTTTTCGTATAAAACTTTATATTAATGATCTGTCTGAGCTATAAATGGCTTTCTCATAATGTTTTTTTCTGAAGACAGCAGCTGGAAAGGGAAAATCGCCCGATTTTTCGATACATGAGTTTTAGAAAAAATGTCATTCAACGAGTAGAAAGTAGCAATGAAAATATCAAAATATATGCAATCAGTAGACATTTTTAACGACTATCTATTGGTGAGTCGTATTTTATGAGCCCGATATCTGTTGGGATTCTACACAGGAATAGTTTCAGAATCCAGTGGGAACTGGTGAGAAATCTGATACCATCGAAGTGTTTGATCTCTAGAAATTTAGAATTTCATTACTGCAAAATATAGTCAACATTAATTTTGTAGAGAATTAAATTGCACATCTTTTGAAAACAGATTGAAGTTTTCTCAAGCTTTCTATAGGAACACCACTACTTTTGAATAATCCTAAGTACATATCTCGAGTTGATCTTAAAATGAAGTAAACACGTCTGACTACAATGTTCAAGAGTAAAAATTTATGAAATTTTTCTTCTGTTATTTATAGTAGATTTTACAAGTCAAAAATCTGATTAAAGTTTTCTAGATTTATGAAAAAACCTAGATGGAAATTGTAAAATCAGATTTGTGTACGCTGTCAGCCGTACTAGCTTCATTTTAAGACCAATTTGAGCTCTCTGTCATCTATTGCAGTGTAAGTTTCGACGAAATATGAAGATCTATAAATGAAAAAAAACATTTTGCGGGAAATTACTGTGGATTTGTTCATACATTTTGGGGCTTGTAGGAAAAGGCTTGTAACTTTTTAATGCAAAGTTGTATAGAGCTGTACTATGCTTGATTTCTGAGGGAGGGAGTTTTGAAATGGTGAATATTTTTTTTGTTTCAAATCTTTTATTTAATTGATTGATTTCGCTGAAGATATATCTTTCGTCTAGTAATATCCAATAATCAAGCTTAAAATACTAGTTGGAAACTACTTGTTATTTACAAAATAAAATATGTAAAGGTAATAGTAACAGAAAAAGTATAAATAAGCGTATTTCTTGTTCATATATTATCAATTAAGAATCAATTGTGAGGAAATATTTTAGTTATAAAAATCAACGTACGATAAAAGCTGATGAAATTCAGAAATGAAAATTTCTACTCGCTGTCATTGTTACTACATGTTTTATAATTGTCTATTAGATAAACAACAATCTTGCAAGATGAAGGGAGAAAGTCAAGAACTTGTCTTCGAGGAAATCTGGATGCTACAGTCGTTTATATTTAGTTTACAAAACATACTAACTGAAAAATTTTGAGCTTATTGCCTACGATGTAGAAAAATCCGATTTTGGTGCTATCAAAATCCTTCGTTTAGTTTTATCATTTTTTAATGATTATACATAAACTTCTATAGTTTTGAAAGATTTTCAAAGTAGTTATGTTTAAAGCTCAGTAAAACGAGGTTATATTGAAGATACCAATTCATTGTGCCACGAAAGAAAATTGGTGACTAATCATGTATGTATTTAACAGCTTTTTATGTTTTTGACATATTTTGACATTATGTTTTGACAAGAAAATTTATCGACATTTGTGAGCTTACAGAACTTGTCCGTTGGACACAAATAACACTATTATATATAACAAAGATCTAAATAGCTCGAACCTTGAATTTCTTTAATAAGAACGACGATCGGAGAACACAATCTCACTCCACCAATACAAGTCCAACACTACTTGAATTAGTCTCTGCGAACGCCTCTACCTCTCTATTTTCTGTATACTTTCGCCATTGTTCTAATCAATTCTGTGAGCCAACAGCAGATTCAACAGAACTTGTTTATCGAACATTGTTCCTGGAACGCTACCAATATTACGGCGAGCGATCCGATCGTTGCTGGATCGTCACTTTTGTTTCTGAGCACAGTCATTATTTTTACTTTGTAGCTATATCAAAATATCAAGCGATTTGTTCACACTAGTCAATTTCCACCACCATAACCGAGTGAGGATTCAGGATTTGGAAGAGACTTCATCAGTTTAAGTTCACTTTTTATCTCTCCTCTCAGTTGATGCTTCTGATCAAACATGATTTGATGAGAATCACCATGGTATGATGCGAGTGACATTTATTCAAAAAATATGAACACATCAACTGAGCGCAAGAATAAAATACACATGAAAATAAAGATGATTGAATTTCAGTTCACACACTTCTGTACTGTTCACCATGGTGGCTGGTCTTTTCTTCCTTTATTAGATTCTGGCTTCTTTTTTTGCGTTGGTTTCCCTTGCTCTGGTTTTTCTGGTGGATGGAGTCTGAAGAGTAAAGACGAGCCGTTTTTGCACACGTCTTTTGTTGAACAACTCCTAGTCATGCCTTTTGCAAGGACGCTCTTTATCATCCTCTTCTTTCTGTGGTTTCGGCTTCCTTTGTGGTTCATGATCAGGAAATAGTTTTCGCGTCGAATATTGAACGTTGTGTCCTGGATAATAGTCAGGCTAGTATTGACGGTAGGGGGGGGGGGGTCGTTGCAGGATAACAAACAGATCGTCAACGATGTCTAAGCGAAAGTGGATGGAGTCTGATTTAAGTTGAGAAACTGCCTTTTATGCACCTAAGTGATTTTTTCTAGCTTCTGAGTAACTCATTTATTTACTCAGAAAAAAATTTTAGTTACTCAGCAGACTCGCCACCTCCCACCCAAACTACTATCGAAAACACTGAATGTTTTGATGGTATGATACCCTTCCTAACCCCATCCAGGGCAGAAGACCGTCTGCTCTTACATTTTGTCCTCTAGCTCATCTTGATTATGGGTCAAAAATCGTAGAAGAAAATTCGTGATTTTTCAGAAGAAAATGGTACAAAGGAATCTGTCATTGTGAGTGTAGTGCAAGATGTTGAGTCAAGACGCTGCAGGATGCAAGAAAACTTTGTTAGTGAAGATGTTAATGAGAAATGCAAAACAAAACGTACGAACAAAAACAACGACAAAATAATAAAACTTACAATGTATGTTTTCTCTATAAGTACTTGTAATAGTGCGTAAAGATTGTTGAGCTTGTTGTAATTAAATGGAATCTTTGTCAGAGTCGCACTATGTCTCATTTTGTAGAACTAAGGTTGCTCTACAATCTCGCATATTCAAATATTTTGTTCAGCTTAAAGTTTAGTCACAAGAAGTTAATTTCTCCATATTAGCATGATCTACGGATTGCGGCTTCTGCAATAGCCTGATACAACTTTGTACAGGCTTTCAAGCTATTCCAGTTTATAGGGCTACCAATTTTTTTTGGGTAGGTGACTTTCTGGACACCTGGTATTATGCGTAATTGTATTTGTCCGAATGAGTGGCATACTGATTACTTTAAGTTCAAAGAAAGTGAATAAGCAATCAATTGTTAAATCTTTGTAAACAGACGTCTATCACTTTTACATGGTAAGCATTCAAATTAACTAGCTGATGTTCAAAATGCTCTTTAGATCATTCTGTAGATCTCAAATGCTGGTGCTACTACCAATTCAAACGACAGAATTCTGATTATTTTTTTCCTTTCGGAGGATGTAGTCCTCGTATATTCAGTTGCCTATCTGAAACTATATAGTGGATTTTTCTCAAGCACAATATATCTTATTAACAACAACTTTTCAGAAATTTTGTTTTTGTTGATAATTCTGATTCAGAGTCATCACCGAGATCCATGGTGTTGACTTTAACGATATTGAGACGATTAAATATACGTCTAACATAAGTGCGTTCACATCATCAAGTATTTGAGTGTCATATTGGGTACGACGTTGTACTAAAAGAGACATATCAGAATTCATCGAAGATTTCAACTCTGTCTCACGAACGCCGCGAGCATTTCTCACTTTCCTATTCAATTACTGGTCTTGGTGTGTGTTTTGTTCATTAATCGTATACAGACAACAATCAGTTTGTTTTAATTCTATATAAAACAGAATTATCGATTACAACTGGAAGCTACACAAACTTACTAAACTTCATTAGTGGCTTACGTTCAATGATTTTCTGATATATCAACAGTCGTATTGGTTAGTAGTACCATTACAGGGTACGTCCATTCAGGTTCGCCCACTTTGTACAGACATAATAGCTGCAAAATTTTCAATACTCCTATCGTGTAGAACATAGAAAGTTACATAGAAGTCCACATTTGTTTATTAAAAAAGTCATATTCTATATACCTGTTTAGGGATATCAAGTTTTGATCCCTCTTAGAATGAAGCAACTTTGACCTTGTTTTTCTTTATATCAATAGAGTTAACATCGGCGTTTAATATACCATACGAAAAAGCAGTTTGAGTAGTATAAGTGCTGATACTCAAAACGTGTCCTACTACAATCACAAGCGCAGGCCAGCTGTCTTGTTCGTTCTGTATTTTCTGATGTGCACTGATAGTCAAAACTGATCGATTCCCTCTTAGGAAATCAAATATTTTTGTGACCACCTCTCCTAAAAATCTTGGTTACGTCGCTAGTTTTAACCACATTTTGTTTTGCATAATGCAATATACAAACATCATTTTTTTGTTGGAAAATAATAAAATTCTTTTCGCTAACACCCAGACATGCACAAAATCGACTTGTTTGCAAAAGTACCACAATAGTGTGTCACTGGCAGAGCGTCGGAAAAATATACTTTTGACCACGAAACCCTTTCAAGTACTTGTGGTCGCCAAAATTGTGATCCACATCCTTCAGATTATTTATTTCTCAATCTATATATAATATACAAAAATATGTACAATGTGGAGAAAAACAACATATTTATATGTGGAACGCTATGCTAACTTTCTATGGACGCTCTTCACCTTTGCGTTTCCTAATGGTTGAATAGGTGTTCTCTCACTAATTGGATACAAGCTAAACAAAATAGTTAATTCAATCGAATGTTTATACGATTATTGTTTTATACTCAATAGGCACGTGCAGACTGTAGGATACGTCGATTGAGGTCCGCCCACTTTATATAGATATAATAGCTGCAAAAATTTCAACATTCCTATCGTGTTTAGAGCATAGAAAGTTAGAAAGCTAAGTCTTACACTATAAATAAAAATGAAGCTAAAGAGTTGCTTAATCCATTAAAAAACTGCACGTACCCGCTGAATATGGAACAATAATCGTATAAACATTCGATTGAATTAGCTATTTTGTTTAGCTTGTATCCAATTAGTGAGAAAGCACCTATTCAACCATTAGGAAATGCAAAGGTGAAGAGCTTCAGGTGCCAAGCAATTTTTCATCTTAGATATTGACCAAAAATACCGTTTCTAATGAAAATTTAACTTCTTGTTTCTGAAAAACATCGAAAAAAGTGCGATAAAAATGTGATATTTACGTGTACTATCTCATCTACTAAACATTTAATTTTTTGTCTGAGTTTATGTACTACACTTTCAATGTTTTTATAGATCAACTCTATTGTGTTCTGATGTTCAAAATATCAATATATTTGTTTTTTGATCGTATTTATGTTACTAATAATCAGACAATGACAGAAAAATCTGAAGTAAGAGAAGTTCTGCCTATATCATTACATAGGACATCAGATTCAACAGAGGAGAGCATAAGACCTTACCTGCTAGTATATTGCACATTTCTAGCATTACGGTTCAATGAGCAGCATGATAAAATAATAATAATAATATTTGTGCCACAGAAAATGTATTATAATTCGTTTTATGCTACAACAAGGCCAACATTTCAATTTTTCTTGTTTTTATTTAAACATATCCTTGAATAACACATTTTCAGCCTTTTCAATTTTCAACACTATACGAACGTTTATTTGTACTTTTATCAATGTAAAAAAGCCTAAAACTTGCTTAACTTTTATATTTTATTTTTAAAATTAAACGTTTCCTACTAATTAAGATGGATATTTTTAAAATTAGTTATTTATTTCAATTGATTGTATCTGTTTTAAGTCGAACTATTGTCTATGTTGTCAATAATACACCTGAACCATTAAAATTTCAAAGTATACAACAGACCGGTTCACGTGCTTTATCGAATAAACAATGGAATGTGCATAATTCCCTAATTGGTACTGGTGAAAAAAAAGCGTTAATTTCATTTAATCGTTATCGAGGTATTCACGCTGGTAAACACTATTATTTTCGTCAATATTTGACATTATCGGATGGAAAACGAGCAACTATTATGTTAAAACAAATGTTATTAGGGAAACGATTTGGATCCCGTTTATGGTATGGTATACAAGTAAACCATTTGCATTTATTAACAAATTCTAGTTATTCAGACTATAAATCGGATCTAAAGATAATCGATCTAACAAACGGATATACAATCTCCTACAAGAGATATAAAACTTATGGATGCGACGATATTGAATATGTTTTGTATCGTCCTGTTGAACCACCAGGTAATTACAAAGATAACAACTATATTTCGATAGATATTAGAGAAAGTGTTGCCAAGCTATATTTTGAATTCCTGAATATCAAAGTTTTATCCTCGGCTTTAGTTAAGAACTAATGTCTTCCACAATTTTGTAATTTGAGTTAGCGTAATTTATATCACAATATAGAAGCAAAGATATTTTTATTCTTAATGTTAATCTCTTATCCCTCTAAATCATATTTTAAGATAGATTCGTTTCTCTTCAATTATATATGGGTATAATTCTGCTGAATGATATTCAAATTTTAGACAATAAAGGAATCAACATCTTAACGTATAATATTTTCATGAGACCACCTCTACTATACTTTAAAGATGATTCTTTTAAACGTGCAAAATTAATACCAAATTATTTACGTAATTATGATATAATTGTATTTCAAGAAGCATTTGATTATTATGCACGAAAACTATTACACTTAGGTTTAAACAGTTCACATCCATATCGAACAAATAATAGTGGCCCGTTTACAACATCGAAAATAAATGGTGGCGTTTTCATAGCATCAAAATATCCAATTATCAAAAGTTTCTATGCTACATATGATCGATTATGTTATAATACCGATTGTTTAGTTAATAAAGGTGTTCAATATGCAAAAATTTATTTTAAAAATGAAACAATTCTTCATTTATTTGGTACACATGCACAAGCATGGAAAGGGCGAGTACAGACAACAGTACGATTACATCAATTTAGACTCATACGACTATTTATTAATGATCTTCAAATACCTTCGAGTGAACCAGTAATTATCGCTGGTGATTTTAATGTTGATCGATTTTCATATTATGACGAATATCTAGCAATGTTAAATATACTAAATGCATATGCACCCACTTCCATTGGTAATTATCGGTACACATCCGATTCATTTTCAAATAAATTCATTGATGGTGATGAAAATGAAGAGGCACTTGATTATGTACTCTATTCTAAAACACATAAATTACCAATTCAAGCCTATCAAAAGGTGATTTTACTAAAAACAAACGTTGAATGGAAATATAATTATTATGATTTATCCGATCATTATCCCGTCCTAGGTCATTTCGAATTTTGACAATAACAATGCGTACACTAAAGCGACGCTTAATTGTGATATAATCATCGAATATATTTTTCTCACTAATTTGATTAATGAAAAATATTGGATAATCCAGGAAGTTAAACTTTTATATCATTATTAGGCCTGATTATTCGATTATCAGACTCAGGAGTGATTCGTGTAACTGCTGAGAATCTATTACAAAGTCATTTGTCTTCTTGTGGATTACAAAAACCTTTGGGTACCTCTGGGTTCATTCAATACACTGTGGGTACCACAAAAGCCTGCGTTATCCATTGTTACATATCAAGCAAAGCATCGATTGATCGTTTGTTCACATATCTTAATTTATTGATCGTGGTTAAAACGTTTTTCATGTAACCATCATTTCAAGGTGTCTAGAAAGTTTGACGTTACTTATGTAGTTTTGAAGCTAATAAGAAAGAGTCTTTATTCACACTATAAAAAATAAAGTGTGTTACTAGGGGTGTAAATCGTTGGGAATACACGTGGTGTGTGTATTTTTCTAAGTGATCAATCTCAGTGTGTAACAAACTAAGTATGCTAAATTTTTTTATCATTTTCCATTTTTCTTACGAATTACTGCGTCGAATGAAAAAGTAATTTCAGAATCGTGATCACTGTCTTCAGAAGTGTATATTCTATAGTTTCCAGCCGAAACGGATAAAAAAAAAAACTTCATTAAAAACGGCAAAAAAACGCGTTACGAAACTCCCGTTTTTTGACGCGTTTTCTATGGGATACAACGCGTTAAAACAGTCTTTTGAACACTTTAGATACGCGTTACTTTTCAATTAAAAACGGACAAAAAACGCATTTTCAAACGTTCTAGAACGCGTTATGTAACATGTTTCAGATGAAACATTTAACGCGTATTTTGATCGTTAAAAACGGAATAAAAACGCGTTACCGGATCAAGTCTGCAACTCCTGAATCGTTCCAGAAATGCGTTTCATAACGTGAATACAGTAAAATCTTGATTAGATATATTCATTTAAATATTGTGTATTGAACAGTATTATGACCTATTCTGTATGAGAGCACTGTAAGATCGAACATTTCATATATTTTTTATCATCAGAAGGGAAAAGTTCTTCTTTCATCAAAACTTTTTTCATCTATTTGATTTGAACGAATCTAACATAATTAAATAAGCAACCAACAGATTAGAAATCGTCTGTTCAAGAGTATGATAGTGACCAAAGAAACAATGAAACTAGGACATTTTTCTGTAAAAACTTATTTCTCCTTTTCTCTTGCTAGAGATACCTTGACGAGGTATCACGATACTTCTGTGTCTAACCACAGTCTCGATACATTTTTGTTACCTTGAATGTGACTACATGGTTTATTCATGGCTGATGGGCGAGGGTAACTAGGTGTCTTGATCGTAGCTAGTGCATTGTGCGTTCTTGATGTATTAGTGATGTCTATCAAATGCACCTAAGTTATTTTTTTCAAAAAAACAAGCGACTGAGGTGTATTTTTTGAAGACATTAAGGCGACTAACAGTAAAAAAATGAGAAAATGAACCTAATGTACCTTTAAAACGTACTGCGGACCTATTTTGAAGCTAGCCGAATGGTTTGTCAAGACACTTTTTTTACAGCGTATCAACAAAAATAACGTAATACGTTATATTATAATAATTAAATATTTATTCTTATCTACCCTTTAATTTTTAATGGTTATTAAGATGATCACATTTCAGTCTCAACCAAGAATAAAACAGCGTTACGAATGACTAAAACAGTTACAGTCACTATTTCTCGATTTTAATGTAACTGGCAAACCATTTGATCACAGTTCGAGGCTCGCTTCAGCATCGATTAGCTTCACACCGTGGTGAACGTAATAGATTGAAACATATCAAAAACTGTGATCATATGTATTACAGAATGGAGCTAGGAGAACTATATCCTACTATGTACTATTGCCAAAACAAGAGTTTTATACATCCAATGAGGTACACTCTAAAAAAATGGTGTCGCATTATGTGTGTATGTGGCAAACAGCTCCCTGTGTCGCAAAAAAATTAATGTGTCGTAGAGTCTAGCTGAAAAATGTGTCGTAAAATTTTCCTGACACATTTTTCAGCTAGACTCTACGACACATTAATTTTTTACATACAGGGAGCTGTTTGCGACACATACACACATAATGCGACACAATTTGTTTTTAGAGTGATTTCTATCATTCTAATCGATGCTAGATTATGTGCAATTTTTTAAAATATACATGAAACTATATGAATTCAGAAACCAAACACAATCTTTGTTCCATACTTCTGTAATGCAATACGCTCACTACAGTTAACCATAATTATACGTTAAAACTGACAATTGACCTAAAATTAAATAATAAATAACATACGGCTGACACTCAACATAGAAGAAGAAAAACAAAAAAAAAGATGATAACATCTTATGGAATTTGTGTTGACTTTCTTTTTATAAATTTAGTATGACTTCTTTTTTTAGTAATATACGGGAAATTTTTTTCTTTCTTTCTTTTATTCGTTCTGTTTGTCAAAAACCAAGAACTAGATCTGACGTAAAATCAAGAACATTCAAATGCGTCAGTAACAAAAATAGATAACAAATAATCAAGAACATTCATCCATCGTCTAGATTTCATTATTTTTTCATTATGACGACTCTTGGTGGTAGGACATTTTAGTTGTAGTTTAAATTGTCCCAAAGTCTGTCCAGAGACATGACATTAATAGTAGGGTCAGTTTATGTAAAAAGGATTGTAGGTGGTTTTAAACGAAAAGCTGGTGCCCTTTTTTTGAGAAATATTTATATTGAAGTATTTCTTCGAATACTATTCTGTTGAATCGAAAAAAAAACCCATGCGAAGGTTGTTTAGTCGATTGAGAGCAAAAAGAGAAGAAAATGAATAATCTGCGTTTATTCGGTATTCTTATATATTTTTTTATATCTTTTATAGAATGAATTATTGTTAATAGTTAATTCTCCACGCATGTACTCACATTTAACATCAGATAAAATTCATGCCCCTGAAACTTTAAAATCACCAAAAGTTGTGGATATTACTTATGAGTCTTCATCACTGAATCTACCGTTTATTCAAGTCGCTGATATTGACGATGTTGATAGTGAAGTAGACTTATCACATCGTTCATTAAAATATTTCAGTCATTCATCATCGAATGTGCAAAAATCAAACAAAGTTGAACCATTAAATTCTCCATCAGTACGGTGGTTTTATCATGGTGAAAATAAATGGATCCCATTCTGCGGCTATGATTCATTGAATATTGAACATAAATTTCGCGAAAAGTTATCATCGAGTTCTGGATGCTTACCTAGTAACGAAATGACAAAACCTAATGATGATGATAATAATAATGAAAATAAAATTATTGTCAAAGGTGGATTGTATGATGTGGATATTTCTGCTATGACATGTACAGCTGTTTACTGGAAAGGTAAGCAAAAATGATAGTTGTTTAATGTTCGGACTATTAGTTAATCGAATTAAGAAGATTTATTATGTTACATTTATTATTACTAAGAATGATATATGAAACTAATTACGTTTTATTGATCGTATAGCGATCGAGTGGCGCTCGATTATTTTAATTTTTCTTACCTCTAGTGAGACATGAGTTCTTCTCAGCAGACTATTTTTAGATTTTTGATCTTTTTTTTACTGACCTGTCGTCTAAAGCATTTTTTTTGTATTCCTAGACGAATCAGAAGTATTGCGTGCAACATGGTTTCAAGATGATACATATTATCCATTAGAAGAAGTATATAGTCGCCAAGTCGAAACCGAACATTTAATAAAATTTCGAGGAGAAACAATTAATAAGGAGGATGATCTTAGTATTAGAAAAACAAAAGAAGGTCAATAAATACACTATCAATATTCATTTATAATAAATCTTTGTTTTCTTTTGCTAGTTATTTATCAACTTCGTATCAACGATTTTTTATTCAAATGGTTTTCAAATAATGAAGTTTATATGTCAACAGAACGTTGGACATCAAGGTTCATGCAAGGATTTAGGAAGAAATTATTTCAATCAAGTAAGTAAAAGTTGATAATGCACATTTATTGGGTGATTTTCTTTAGATACATTTTACATTCTTTCGTCTTTCGCTGACATAGCATGAGCATTTCTTTACAATTGATAACAGAAAAAAACAAATTGTATCTATTAATTTTTTCTGTCTCAGATATTCGAATTCGTCGTGGATATAAAGAAGATGCCGACATGGAAGATAAACAACCGGATATTAATCATATCGTGTTTGTCATACATGGAATAGGACAAAAATTAAATGTTGGCAGCATTACGCGTAATTGTACACAGCAAGTTTGTTTATTAGACTCACTCTATTTAAATTAACAACTATAAGTATTCTCTTTCCTTGTTTAGACTACGTGAAATGTGTAATCGAATGATACGAAAATATTTCATGACTTATTATGATTCAAAAGGAAAAGCAGAATTCTTACCTGTTGAATGGCGTTCATCGTTGAAACTAGATGGCTGTAGGTTGTTGTTAATTTCAATACAAAAACGTTAAAAAAATGTGTTTTTCATTTTATCTAGATGTGATCGATTCAATAACACCAAATCGTTTGAAAAATTTGAGAACGATGGTAAATTCAAGTGCTATGGATATTCTTTATTATACCAGTCCACAATTTAGATCAGAAGTAAGAAGAATATGTTTGCAGTAGTTACCAGGTTGTTTGTAGTGGAAGGGAGAAGAAGATTAGTAATTCACAATTGAATTTCATTCTCACGGGGAAGGTTCGTAGCTGATACCCTCCGATTTCGATGACATTTTGCCGATAGATACTATGTGATGTTCTAGTTTTAACCTCCAAAGAATTTGGTTTGTATAGCTCTTCTTTCAAAAGTTATGAATTTTTTAAGATTAGCCACTGGAGATTCTAATTCATCATTGTTTACTTTCCAAAACTCGTCCACATGTGTGCTGACCAGCCAAAATCTTTTTAAATACCTGTTCATATAGAGAAACGTGGTCTCTTCAAAATGAGACGTTGCTGAGCTCTATGCGATATCCCCAGCAAAACTCACAAGCATTTTTCTAAGAGCACCTAAAACTCTGCTTTTCTCCTTTTCTTTCATTCTTCTACATCAATTTTTGTCTTGTAGTATTGCGTAATTCCAAGATTTCTCCGCTATTTTAAGTGCTACAAATCTCAGGTTGGTCTTGAAATGTAGCCAACAGTTTTCTTCAGGGCATAACAGAACCCGATTTTCGATCTTCGTTTTTGTCTCTGACGAAAATAAAAGGTTTCCGAAAAGTTAACAAGGTTTTTCCTCATGTCTCTGAAACCTTTTATTTTCGTCAGAGACAAAAACGAAGATCGAAAATCGGGTTCTGTTATGCCCTGAAGAAAACTGTTGGCTACATTTCAAGACCAACCTGAGATTTGTAGCACTTAAAATAGCGGAGAAATCTTGGAATTACGCAATACTACAAGACAAAAATTGATGTAGAAGAATGAAAGAAAAGGAGAAAAGCAGAGTTTTAGGTGCTCTTAGAAAAATGCTTGTGAGTTTTGCTGGGGATATCGCATAGAGCTCAGCAACGTCTCATTTTGAAGAGACCACGTTTCTCTATATGAACAGGTATTTAAAAAGATTTTGGCTGGTCAGCACACATGTGGACGAGTTTTGGAAAGTAAACAATGATGAATTAGAATCTCCAGTGGCTAATCTTAAAAAATTCATAACTTTTGAAAGAAGAGCTATACAAACCAAATTCTTTGGAGGTTAAAACTAGAACATCACATAGTATCTATCGGCAAAATGTCATCAAAATCGGAGGGTATCCCTTCCCTCGGCACATGTTATATATATGAATTTCATGTTTTTTCTATATCATATTGTTGTTATTCGTCTCTGTTTAGATCACGCTTGGTGTACAAGCAGAATTAAACCGTTTATACACATTATTTTGTCAACGTAATCCTAAGTTTAAAGAAAGTGGCAAAGTGTCTATTGTTGGTAGTATAAGTACAATATGTGCAATTTAAATCTACTATTTCTTGTTTTTCTTTTCATAGCTCATTCTCTTGGTAGTGTTATTGCCTATGATTTATTGAAAGGATGGAATGTTTTAGAAATGCAAGAACAATATTTAGAACATAACTGGCTTGTACGACGACGACATTTGTCAAAAAGTGGCACTAGTGAACAATGAGATTTGTTTCTTTAGTTTGATCAAGACATCAGTGATAAAGTGAAGACAGATATGTTACATCAACAAAAACTTTTAGAAGAATTTATGAATTGTAAACGAAGGTAATGCTCAGATTTATCAGGATTCTCATTCTCTATTTTTTTGAAAAAGTTTCAAATTCTGATTGCAGAGGAAATCCTGGACTACAAAACAGGACTATTTTCAACGTTGTACAACCTGAAGTAAAAGCATATATTCATTCTTCATTTTCGCAGCGAAGAGAAAGTAGTTGTTGATTTTCAGAAAAAGATCAACTCTTTGAAAATTATTTATGGTGCTAAGCTTGCAGTTGAAAAGACTCTTTGTTTCTTCACTTCTCAGTTACTTATATTGTCATTTCTTCTAACACCGTCTTTTCTATGTATTATCTCATTACTGACCTTTTCATTTTATTGTACGAGTGCGTTTTCTTTCTTTAGAATGGATGAAATTGATCAAGAGTTGGCTGCACTGAATGATAGTTCCTATAACAAACGTTTGAAATTTACGGTATATCTATCAAAAAGGTTTAAAGATACTCACTATTTACTGATTATCTATGTTTAGATTGAGAATTTATTTTGTCTTGGTTCTCCATTGGCTGTTTTTTTGGCTATACGTGGTGTTAAAGCTGGAACAAATGGTTTACAAGATCATATTTTGTCGAGAACGGTGTGTAAACGTCTCCTGAACATCTTTCATCCAACTGATCCTATTGTATGTATTCAGAGCTTAATAATGTTAAGCATCTCTTATTCATTGAATATTCAACTTAGGCCTATCGCCTTGAACCATTAATTTTAAAACATTATTCAACCATATTGCCCCTTGATATTCATCGATATGATTCGTTACTAAGACCACCCTACAATCAGATGAAACCACAAGCATATGCTGCACTTCAATTAGCAACTACGCCGACTTCATCAATCATTTCACAAGAACAAAAGGACAAAACGAAAAGTACGAGTATGTTATGTTGACGTCTATGGAAAAAACGACAGACTATTTGAAATACAGTGGCAACTATTTCTGGGGGGGGGGAGAAATCGTTCTGTATCCTGAAATGTCCCCCATTTAGATTTTCCTCTAACGTACCCAGTTTGTAGAGGATACTTCGAAGTATATGTCCTGAAGTTTTCTCAGCTTAGCTTACGAAAAACGTTTTCGGCCTTTGAGCAAAAATCCGAAAAAAATTTTTAATTTCCGCTAGGAGGAAACGATAAATTTTTATTTTGGAGAGGTGTACACATCACACACATCGGCAAAATTTCCATTTCTATTAGAATTTTCACTTTTTCAATTATGTTTTCTGTTATGTGTTTTGAGAACTAATTCAATTAATTCCACTGCCTAACGTTTTTCTCGTTCTGGCACTCGTAATCGATTTCATCGAAATACTATTTGAGTGTTGTATTACATATGAATAATCAAATTAATCCTATATTAGACAGAATACACTTGAATTCTGAAACTTCTTTCTATGTCCAATAATTCAAGTGCTATTTCTTAATTTTTTCAGAATTGACAAAGTTTTTAACGTATTATCCTTACATTACTTTCATATCTTTGCTAACTACTTCTTCACTTCTTCGAAAGAAACAGATGAAAATTTTTGGAATTTGTCTCAATATTCTGTGCATCCTAGTAAGTGTAACTGCTTATTCTCTTCTTGCACGAGTCATTCGCGTTCTTTGTTTTTATTTTTTTCCTTTTTTTGATTTTGGCGTAGTAACATTAAAATCGGAACTAGTCAGGGTTTTCTGATCACTCTAACAGATGTATTGGTAAGAGCAGTCTAACTACATTCTCTGATATATCTGTCAAGAACATAGAGAGAAATAAAAGAATAGAAATTTATTCCATGGTCGTATCTGAAGGGGTTCTAATGTTATATCGTATGGCTACTATATATACCATTGTTCGCTCGAATTTTAGTGGAAAGTCACTTCGTTGAGAATCATTCTCAAACATATCTACGTAAAATATGTTCTTTATATGTAATTGTTGTTACACAACAAAACGGTGAATGGAAAGTGCATGTGCAAATGATAGAATGTGTATAGTGGAAATCGTATCACTTGCTATTGAAGAACCTGATAGAAATCCTACCATTTCTTATTGGTGAGATCTGATAGCATCTTATTCTAGGGTTTTCATATCAAATATTAGGTGTTCCTATGGTAGAAATTTATGAGATATACGATGGGCATCTGCAGGATCTCTGTGAGATATCTATCTGTAGTCTGTGCCATGGATTTCATCATGAAAGTCTGAAAAGTTGCTTTATTTTCCACTCTCATCTAGAATACAATTCCCACTGTTAGGTTAATCACAAAAATTCTATCGTTGATTTGTTTTAGGCTTTTTTTCGCGTTTTAAACGTGAAGATGTGATGAATGCTGAGATGGATTCGATGGAAGGAAGTATATCATTGGGTGAATCATCCAATATTGAACAAACAGGTAGTATTTCATTATTCATTATTTTTCTCTTTCATTCACTTTTGTCGCTTGTTTTAGAATTAGATTTTCGTATTGATTATCAGTTACGTGAAGGCAATTTGGAAAATTCGTATTTATCAGCGTTAACATCGCACACATCTTATTGGACGTCACCAGATATTGCAGTATTTATTCTTACACATTTATATCGCACCGATGAACAGTACAAATAATTATACTAATAATGATTATCTGCAGTCTTTTATTTTTCTGATAATTATATCGAAGTGCGAATAATTTTATTCTTTTAAGTAAAAACACAACATAAAACGTTCAATATGTGCGTGTATTATAGTTTAATCAAATATTTTTTTATAGCCAAAATAGTGTTTGGAGCAAAACTACTTTTGTGCCCGTTTTAGCAGCAAAGATAATAAACAAGCAAATTTAGGAATAACAAATGTTTGTGGAAATCCAGACGAAGAATCCTGAAATATGATCTTATAAAATTTGACAAGATCTTATACACAGGTTTTCTAAAAACGAGGTGCTCAATTCGACGAGCTTTCGAGTTTTTGTTTACCTTCAGTCTTACTGATACTTTGTACAGATATTCTTCTACGTCTATTGCATTGATGGTATTAGCATAAAAATACATAAATACATCTGAACTGCTTTCACGGTTTTCCTGAAATCTTTAGTTTTTCATGTAAAATCTATTTCTCTCCTTTGAAAAGCATTTTTAATAAATAAAAATCTCATATTCGAGATCAGCTCATTAAGCTGCATCGAGCCGCGTAGTGTATAAGACATAATTTTTGCGAAGAAAACATTTTCAGCTTCGGCCCCGCCACTCATCTGGTTGTTTCTTCGGAGATAATTTTTTTCTCATTTGATCGATCATTATACTTGAGGGAAGTAGTGTAAGACATGATTTAATGGTTTATTGCGAAAAAAACGTCATATCCACTGAACCAAAAGACGTCCACTGTGTACGATCTAAAAGCTTTCTGTCAAGAGCGTAGTAAGACAACATCTAGATGGCGCTAGAGATGGAGGAACAGTTTGACCGTGGTGTAATTATTTATTCTAAACAAAATTCATATTTGTCGAAGCTAGAGATCGTTTTGAGTGCACTAAATATATCTAATTCTATTTAAATAACTTAAGAATACTTTGGCAGGTAATTTTTGTCATCCGTTGGGGTACATAGAATCCAATGTTTACTATGATGATGCCTTCGTATTCATATATTATATGTTATTTTTCACCGTGGTGGAAAATACAATCCATTCACATGAACAGAATACAAAATAGTCAAATGAACAAAATGAGATTATCAGGCAGAAAACAGTCATTTTACTGTTTTATTTATTACTCTCTGAACCTAGAAACAGTTTGAGTACATTGTTCTAGTCAACAATCCTCACTAAAGCTCCGTGGTATTACCCAAAAAATGAGAGAGTCATTATAAAATTCTCATCTTGGGAGTAGAGAAAAATTTACGTAGTTTCATGGCGCTATCCATTTGTAGTATTGCTCTGTCATCTTACATGGCATATACGAAAAAAGCGTCTTTTTGTAGTATTTTTTAGTGCCTGACCATAAAAGTATCGGTTTTACAGTTGAATTCTAGCCAAAACGAACGGTGTGTACTAAATGCCTCTTTTCAACGGAAAAAATCAAAGAAAACACATCATATTTAGAATTCAAATACTTAGTTCTCTATTTTCCAAATTAATCTCAAAGGGCTTCATAACTAAATTCCTCTGTGACTTTTTAAAAAACTTTCCTGGAATTTGTCTTAAGATTATCGGTAAGGGTTTCTATGCGAATTTGAAACTCAGTGGTAGATGCAAAAAGATTTTTTCATCGTTATCGATAATAAAAGTAATTTATCTTCTCTTTTTCTCAGCGCACATCTATCATTTTTCGACAAGTTTAACTTATCGATCTTTCTGCCTGATTGGAATTTCAATGAGATTTCCATGGAATTTTTTATAACCTTTCACTTCTGTAGAAATTCGTCAAACTTCATCTTTGCAGTGTAATTTACCGAAATATCTTTCATCCTGTACTCTGGAAACCGCATTTGAATCTGTTTATTAGTATTATGTAGTTTGTAGCTTAAACTTTTATGGTTTTGGGGAGGATTTTATGCTACATTTAATATTATTCTTATATTTCTAGAGATATAAAACGAACGTTTCACATTTATTACACCGCTATGAAGTAAGGACAACGAAAAAATTAATTTTATTATTTGAATACAGTTCATTTTCATATAAAAAAATTAATTTAAATCTTTCTATCTCCTTTTAGGCTTGAAATTTGCAATTATAGTGGCTACAAAATTTATCCTGGCCACGGTAAACGTGTTGTTAAAGCCGATGGAAAAGTATGTTCATCACTGTTGTTTTACTGAATAATAGACGCGCATGGTAACAGCAGAGGAAAGACAATTAATTAAGAACTGAAGAGTACAAGTTGAGGAGAAAAATATCTCACGTTGAGTATTTCAGTGCTGGTTAAGCGATTATGAAAAATACTTGTGAAGCAACAGATTAGGTCTTTCAGCTGTGTAATTACAACTCAATAGAAGTTTTTTACATAGTACAATCTGACGATCATCGAGCTATGACGTCTAACTTTTTATCCCCATTGGGATATTCTCACGAAATATAACTGGAAAAATCATAATCGGAAAAATTGTGACGTTATTGGATGTACGTAACTATACCATAAAAAATATAATAAAGAAAGCGAATGAAAAACTGTAGCGAAATCTTTGAGAATACAATCTTGGTTTATGAGCTCACCACATGCTTTTTCAAGTTACATAAGGATATGATATGGAATTGTTATATTTCTTCTGTTTTTCTTTAAATCTGTCTTCACAGTATAGTACTTACATCTTGATAAGAAGAATGTTGTACATCTTCCTTAAGGAAATGGTTTTTTCCTTTAACATATGATTTGTGCTGATTTTATTTATTTGTAGCCTAGTTTCTTTTATCACAGCAAAATACCATATTAATTTTTATTTTTTCTCTAAAATTTCTCGTTTGGCTTTAAGGTTCATATTTATTTGAATTCAAAATGTCAACGTTCAGCTGATATGAAACGTAACCCACGACGTATAACATGGACGGTGTATTATCGTCGTAAACACAAAAAAGGTCAAGCTGAAACAGAAATTAAGAATCGAACACGACGTAAAATCAAATTTCAACGTGCTATTACTGGCGTTACGTGGAATGAAATATTAGCTAAACGTAATCAACAACCAGAATTTAGAAAAGCACAGCGACAAGATGCCATCAAGTACACATTATGAAACTACTTATCTCATGTTCACTTTATATAATGGTTTTTTATTTTAGTGCTGCCAAGCAAGCAAAAAAAGCAAAAGCACAACAGAAAAAAGTAACACAACCATCAGTGAAGGTAAGATCAACGTTTGTTTTAAATATAAATAAATATTTACAAATATCCGTGCTCGTTGACTAGATTGTAAACGTAGTCACGATTAGTTTCAGCGGTAAAAGTTAATCTATTCTATTCTATCGCAGTATAAGACTTCAGTTCACATGTTATTGTAAGTATTCCATTTGAACCTTGTTGAATGTGATGGAGATATTTAAGCTTCTTTTTACTCTTCTATCTTAATCAACTATTACTTATCTTCTTCTGACATTATTTTCTAGGCCGGTAAACCCGTGAAGAAAGTTGAAAAAATTCAAAAGAATATTCCGAAAGGTGGGCCCAAAAAAGGCACGCAACGTTAAATGGAATGACGACGAAAAAGAAAATATTCAATGTCTTGTTTTCTTTTGTATTGGTTATTTTGCAACAGTCCCGTTTTTGTGTAACATCAAGAACGTTCAAAGTATACGTTGTTTATATGACTTTGTTTCAGTTAATAAGAATAAAAAACAACGTAATTATTATTGAATAAAAATGCGAAAAAACTATGTCTATTTTGTGCCTTTATAAAAACCAAACGTAATATCATGATCCTAAATGAAATCTTGAATATTAAGTTTGACAAAAAAATACCATAGTTTAACTCCTGATTTTGACATGAAAATTGAATATTGTAGAATTCTAAACGAAGGTTTCTTTAAAACAGAAGCCATATCTCGAACAATAGTTTTCTTTACTACCAACAGTAATTTTGAAACACGAAGCAGGGAATGACATTGTAAGGGTGGTTAAACTCTCCAGACGTTCACATTTGCTTTTTTTTTATCTCCAATCGATAGAAAGAAAAAACGTTTTGATTATAATGCAAAACATTTATATTCAGCTTTAGTCAATCAACGGAAATGGTATGATGTATTTTAGAGTTACAATAATACTTGTTTACTGCTGTAATTCTGATTGATTTTCAGATAATTTTAATCTTTATCTTGTTCATTTCAGCAGATGCAAGTGATGAGATTGGTCTAGTGTAAATCTTCAAAATTAAACAGTTTTTAAAGCGAAAGTGCTAATATTTTCATTTTCTAGATCTAATTTGGATATAAAAAGAGTGCGAATAATCGCAATAAAATGATAATAATGTAATAGGTGGTAAATGCACCTTTTTTCTGGTGTTATCTTTATGTTTTCTCAAACTATTAGAAAACAGTTTCGGCATCTGCTAAAGTGTCTATGAGAAACGGATAATCGAGCGCTATATTCAAGCCAGATGTAATATCGACAAAAAAATATTGATTTTTTTTTCAAATGAATCAAGTATCATAGGTCTCTTATCGTGAAGGTTAACATTGTGGTTTACGACAATATCTCGTCAAATATCATCAGTTAAATCGAAACTGGCAAATGAAAATTGTTAAAACAATGATGAAGAAAAGAAAGATGTTAAACAAACAATTTAATTTACCCAAAATATTTTTGTTTATTATTGCATATTACATGGAATAAATAAACAAAAACTCTTTTTGTTGATAATATCAACTCGACCGCATTGAAAGTAAGCGAAAATTGAAAATTAAATAGCCTTATCAATGGTCGAGTACTCGTACAGTTATCATTACCTATGAAGCCTACAAAAAATAGGGAAGTTCAATACATGTGACACTTAAGTATCAATAACTGACTGAGGCTCTACGTTCACACTGCACCACTTTGATAAACATCTCAAGTCATCCATATTTTGAAGTTTTTAGCTTTTCAAAATAAATCATTCCAGATTTTGATTTTTCTTAAATTTCAATAGTTTTTAAAGACTAAATATCAGGAGGGAGGGACCTATTTTTCCAAATATTATTTCTAAAACAAAAACTATCCAATATGATGAGTTAGGATTTGTGAGTTTCTTATGGAAAAAAGACTTTTAATTTTACAGTAAAATCTCTACTATCTCTTTATAATTCTAAACTAGAAAATATCTTTCTAAAGGGATCATCTGATGTAATTAAGTTTTTATTGTATATGGCGAGAAAAAACACGTATGCGAAAGAAAAATAGAGGTAAATTAATAAAATAAAGTACTAATTTGATAAAAAGTTGACGTATAGAAGACAAGAGAAGTGTTAAAATATCTTTATCTTATTATAAGTATAATACTGGAAAAAAGTTTTGAATAAGTTGTATGATTTTTATATGTAATATCAAATTCAGTTCAATTTGAAATTGAACTAAATTTGAATTTTGACTACAACATATACGTTATTGTTATTCTAACATCGTTTTCTTTTGATGATGTATAATAAGATGCACATTTCAAATAAATTTCATTTAAAAATTTTCAAAGTAGATGATAAATTAAACAGAAAAATTCGTCAGTTTTTTGCTTCATGGTAGAAGTGTCGTGTCCTCGATTGTGAGTCATAAATGAACAATCACAATCCATAAATTAAAGCTAATGTAACTATCTTTGTTATATAAAATATACAACATTGAAGTACATAACTTCTTTATTTGCCATAAACTAAAATTGTCTTATTTCTCTTTTATTTTTTCTCTTTTTTTTTTTGTTCGCTCAACTTTATTTTCGTTTTTAATTTTGTTTTTTCTCTACAAGTAGAAAAATGTATATATTTTTTTGTAATCAAAACGTGCTGATAGGAAAGACAAATAGAAATTTATATTTTTACGTTTATTGAACTGTTTGTATTGCTATTTATCTTGTTTGTCGTTGTATTAGATATTTTTAAAAAATAAAGTAAGTAATGTCTTAGTTTCATTATTATTTGAGATAATCGTTTGGGGACTATTTTCATCAATGATTTTTACTGTTTATTTTTTTACAGTAAATAGAACGAAAAGAGTTGAAGACGTCACAAAAGGTGGATTGTCGGACGAAAGCATTTTTTTTCCCTCGATAATCCAGATTGTAAGGTGCACGCAAAGCAAAATTCGAGCAAAAAATTTTTTTTTCGATGTTTCAGACACCATTCGATAGAGAATTTTACGGCGATCAAGAATATGTGTTCCCTGAAAATTTTCGATGCTTCTTTC